TTCTCGGCCCCGGAAACCGAATCCCTGGCACATCGTTGTCGGAGAGCTCTCCTTTCGGGCAGGCAGGCGATCTGTACGCTGCTGGACACGAATACAATGGACCAGGCGTGAGATTGTGGTCACCGTGGAAGGCCATTCGAACGGACACAGAGAAGCGGTTTTTGTGCCATCGGAGAAAACTACTTCGAGCACTGTCGTAGAAGTGTGCAATAGACTGTAGTGATTGACGGTACTGGTGAACCTTATTTTGTTACAGATTGTGACCTATGCTATCACCAACAAGACGAGTCAGTGACTATAGGGTGACAGAAAGTGAATGCGTGAAGACTTGAAATATCCTTAAATTTTTTAATGTATTTCAGTCATGTTTGGTTTATTGAATTGTCCATATTTTAACTTTCATTATAGGTTAACTTCACGTTTCAATATTGTGTCATCTGTTTTTAACAAGATATCTAACGAAGGTGCTCAGATTATTGCATTGTACAATGGAAGTCCATTCGAATGGACACAGAGAAGCAGTTTTTGTGCCATCGGAGAAAACTATGTTCTTCGAGTGCTGTTTTAGTAGCGTGCAATGGATTTTAGTAATTAACGTTATTGGTGAATGTAATTTCATTACAGATGTGACATAGTCTTCAGATTTGATATTTTATTAATTAAAATTGTACTGTTGATATCTTGTTGCCCGAATCAAGTTTTTGTCACTCTAGCCTAGTCGATCGAAACCGTGGCACTACTTGCTTCTCCCTTCCCTGCGTCATTTTCTTAATTCAAAAATTGAATCGATTCCACACGATTCCATAAAATCGCGTAGCTTCAACGTTACGTACGTATTCCTGTATAAATGCGCATATTCAAATCTAATTCCGTGAATAGATTCATGCATGGGCGTAGTCAGGTTATCAGTCAGGGGGGGCAAACATATTAACACATCGACTGCCACAGTGAAAATGGCTGTACGTAGCCAGACACACTCTATATTGTTTTTAAAGTCATAAATCGTTGAAAATGTATGCGTTTTTTAAATAGAGGCTGTTGGTCGTGCTTCAAATTATACTGCAATATTAAATATTACGCAAAAATTTTGTAATTCTGGGAAGGGAGAGGGGAGGGGTAAAAGCCACTTTTTTCCTTCCAGGGGGGGGGGATGCAAGTGCCCCTTGCCTCTCCCTAGCTACGCCCATGGATTCATACTCAATTGTAAATTATTTGAGTATCAAGTATAGAAAGTTATTGTAGCGGTAATGAATCGGATGTGAATTGTGAGCATTTATGTACAGCAGCAGCAATTACACAGACTCCATTTTCTGCCCTACCCAGTAAAATCATTCAACAAAGTACATAGTAAGCTTTCTTTCTAAATACCGTTTTCACAAATTATTCCGTAAAAATATGAATCTCCATAACCATTCGCGGGACTAGTAGGTCAGGCATGAACGTTCTGGAACAAAGTTTCAGAGCAATTAAACGGAAATTCGGGTTATACTTGCGCCGTGAACGCGGCTTAATGCGGCATCGCGGCGCAGATTTCAAACCAGACCAGGTTCGCCGCTTTTCTGGGACAATTCGTCACACGGCGACTATGATCGATACCGTTTCAGAACACTATTCGGGACACGCTGTCGGTGACGTATGGGTTTCCAGCGATGGATCGGTAACTTATCGGAGGAAAAAAATGGGGAGCACAAAGAGGGTCACAGGTCCTGATGTCGATAGCTCAAGATAGTTTTTATATTTCATTGATTAATGAAGTGGTTGAAGTTGAAGAAGCGACAGGGAGTATGTTTAGCAAGGACGAGTACTTCCTAAATATTGATTTTAGAGAATTAGTTCCGTTGAATATTTGCGTTCTCCGAAGAAGGTCACGTGATACACTGTTAAAATTCTCGTCACCAGGTGCAGTGTAAACTTCAATATATATAAATGTAGGCTTTAAACTTGATAGTTACGTTCAAAGGTGTTGAATAAAATATCATCTATTACAATATTAAACAAGCAAGTTCTTCAATACGTTGTAAAATCTACACTAGCAATCGTAGACTAAGAATCTTCGATTTCTTATTATTATAAGACACCCAGAACATATCATTATTGTAGAAAGTAATCTATATTTCCTTCAATTGAATATAATTACGTATAGCATGCCAATCATACATTTGGAGGGATCAGAAGTCAATCAGTGTAAGTCAATCTTTCATTAAATATGACTTATGCTGTAAATACCCTTCCATTGTTTATTTTATACGTAACTAGTTTCATATGTATGTATCCTGCACATATGAATCATTTGTTGTTTGTTTATAGCAAATATTACTTTCTTCCATTTTTCCCACAATTATCTCTGTCAACTTACTTTGTGACTTACACTGACTGGCTTCTGAGCCATCTATTTATCTGCGTCTTACTTTGAAATAAGATATCGACAATCACTATCTTTTTTTTTTATTTTTATTTAAAGGATTAGCGTCGCATCGACATCTGGGTCATTAGCGACGAGCACTGTTAATTATGTAGTGATATTTAGATGGAATCGTACAGGTGTTTATTACTTTGGATAAACTTGAGGAGATGCTCAACATTCTTAGTATTATGGAAGGACTCCTTTAGAATCATTTTTAGATTGGCAACTTAAAATTGTTTCGAAAACATGGATTATCATTCGAATTTCGAATATGTAACTTTTTTCCATGAATTTTAGATATTGCACCGGTTGTTTTTTCTAAGAAGAATTACTACTTTCTTGATACGTCGATCCACCCAAGAACGACATGCAAATACTTGCGAGTGGAAAAGTGCGCGGCGATGAACGGAAATTACAACTGGGACTCGGTTCTAAGTTTGTTGGACAAACTTGGAAAGCTGAGATCCTAGCAGAGTCGCTCGGGGTCAGCTTAATTGAACCACGGGAACGTTGTTTTATCGGACTAATTGTCGCATTGTTGCAAGTTTGCGGATTTATCTGCAACGATTCTACGAGCACCGCAAATAGAACGCTTCCCTGTGGCAATTTATCACGTCGGTTCGTGATATTAATTAGGATCGTTATGCGTGTGGTTCGTACGATTCCGTGATTTCGGAATTTCCATCGGAGTATTTAATGAAATTCGCAAATTCGCAAATTTTGCGATACGCATCGTTGATTTCATTTGACTCCCCCAATGATTTCGTCATCGTCGCTTCACCTCTAACGATCGTCAACTCTTACACAATCGAAATAAAGTTTTCTATTCTCAAGGGGTTTGCTCTATTTAAAGACTGAAAAAAGAATACGCCCCTTTTGGAGTCTTGTTTTACGGAACTGGAAAGAGAGAATTAATCAATTCGGCAATGTTTTGAGATAGAATTTACATTTCGATAATGTAAATACGTAACAAATGCAAACTCGCACAAGCCTTCGGAAATGCAGTAGCCTCGAAGCATTGTTTATATTACTCCTCCTACAGAAGATGTAGAACACAAAATTCAAGAGTGGTTACAATCTATACATGATCCTCTCCGCAAACTAAGGAAACTGGAAAATCTTAATCATTATGGAAATGACGTCGCTTAATAGAAAAAATTCTGTATTTCTCATAAAATCAGACACTTTTCCGAACACGAAAAAGAAAATCATGAAGCTACAATTCTTACCTTAGTTCATGCTATAGAGTATAGAGACATACCTTCAAAAGGTGCATGTTAAATTTCAAGTGAATTCGGTTCATAACTTCTCGAGTTATCCAGAACGCTAGATCGAAAAGTGTGATTCTCAGAGAAATGTGTTCCAAGTTGCAACAAAAATTCTAATGTAGAAAAATGTACATATATTTTTAATTTGATATTCCAGGTCCATATAGACCGAAGAAGAGAATATTCACTTCTTCTTCACAAGCAGTCATTTTTGGCAGGAAAAATACTACTGATTCGTGAAAAAAAGATTTTTCGATTTTTTTCTTCAACCCATTAAGCCAAGCAAATCCCTTTAAGTTACTTCCGAGACATCGTAGCGTCGTATCGAAGTAATACTTCTCTGTGCACGTACATCGAATAACTGTGTGTCTTCGTTAAAAATCGGCTATGAAAATCCGCGAGAAGTTCGACGGAATCAGTAAGCACTTAGAAACGCTTTATCGACCGCGGCCGAGATGCTTTAAGGTGGCTAAAAAGTTCAAGGGAGCTGCCCCGAACTTCCCTCCCTTCAGAGAAAGAAAGTTCCGAAAGCCTGCCGGCGAATCACCGCTGAAACTTTTTGAACGGCGGAAATGCGGCGAGTCTGCGATCTTAAAATGTTTTAAACATTCGAAAGCGTTCCTGGAGAAAATTCTATCCTCATTTAAATAATGTTATATCAACAATAACCAAAAAAAAAAAATCCTTGGGAATGAGTTGAGTGTAATTCATTTTCGTCGGTTCACGGAATGGAATTTTAACCCCTTAAGGACCGAATTATTTTGGAAAAATCAGTAAAAACTTTCCGAATTTTTTTTATCGAATTTGTAAATGATCATTATGCCTAATAACATATCACGATAAAATTAAAAAAAAAATGTGGTATTTTAGAAAATATCGCCTCTCTAAATACTTGACAATCCCATAACCACATTTATTCGTTCATACGAAAAATGGTAAGATATGGAATTGTGAGATAAATATTCATTGTTTATTCGAAGGTGACAGTTGTTTTATACGGGATAAGGAAAGATAGAAAATTGAATCCGTTTAAACATGGCTATGGTCTTCAGGGGGTTAAAATCTGATGCTTAATACGCTTTCGGTGTATTATTTGGAAGTTCCGGTGTCTGAAAACCCGAAAGAAAAACCGGTCTCTGGAACGTGGACGACAGCTTAAGCATATTTTATTTAAATTTACATATTCGATTATTATTCTCGGATATTTGATGAACGGATTGATTATTCTTTCCCCGTGTACGCGTGGGAGTCATCGTAATTGAGCGATCAAGAGCATAAACAAAAAAGGACAAATTGTATTTCCGGGGGGGGGGGGTTTGAATACTCACGGAAACTGGAGCCGTGTGAGGCGCGGCTGCTTCCTGCGTGTGGTGATGTCGACTGGGGCTAGGGCTTGACCTTTGGGAACTCTGCCCACGTTGCCAGGAGCCGCCTTTATTGCCGCTGAAATCAAATTAAAAAATAATCGATTATTACAATTCACCTTGGACCTTTGCAACTAAAGTAATTTTGCTCCTATCCACTGGTCTCCCGTCGATTCTAACCAGAGATGGACCGAACTTTTTATCTGGATTAAAAGTTTGTAATAGCAACGGAAGGATATAAAACTTTTTGTATTAATTACTGGTTGAACGCATGGAGCTTATTTAATGATGTCAAAAAAAAACTTTATTATTTTTTTATTATTCTTTATTTCCATTTTTTGTCTTGTTTATTTATTTTAAGACTCGGTCCGTTTCCAGTTTATTAACGCTTACATTATTCGTGTAAAACGAGATCATGTGTTCAAGATTTAAATATTAGGGACGAAGAAGAATTAACCCCTTGCTTTATAACATCGAGACAGACTCGTCTTGATAATTTCAAAATGGATTCAGCAAATATGAATATTATTATTATTGTTATATAAACCCCTAGTTTTGTTTGAGTCGAAGTTAAATACTATGTTGCTGGTATTAATATTAATTTTTTAGAGTAAATGTACAGTTGCGATAAGTACAAAATTCTTTTTATTTCAAGGAAACAATTGACATGAAAATAAGCAAGGTGTTAATTTATTGTTTTTCCCACATAGTAGAGGTGACTGTCAATGCAATCATTGTCCTCAAAAGGTAAATGGTAAATATATGTAGTCCTGTCAGCATAACGTTTAAAGTATGATTCAGAAACCTGTATTTCTCTTTTTATGCAAGCTTTTGGAAAGATATTTCTCTCAGAACTTTTGCAAGTTACCTTACGTATGTACACCGGTTAAACAAGACTCGATACATATAACGCCTAAAACAATCACGTGGGCAAACTGAAAACGTATCCCAAGAATATTGTTCAGATCGAAAGTGAACTGGTCCCGCTGGGGAAACAGTTGAGGACACATTTTTTCACAGGCTTCTCAGTTATTCAGACTTGCGGGACCTGCGACATCGTCGCAGTGAACCATTGACTTTCACATTAACAAACGAAAAAAGTCGCACCAACGGGCGATTAGATCACGCGATAAATTATTCCAGGGCGACAACTTGTCATCGTGGCGAGGCCAACAGAACACTAATAAATTATATGGTCGAGGGACCTCGTGCGTGATTTACACGGCCGATCATCGATAATCGTCCCTTGGAGATGTCGATATATTACGCGAGACAATGATCTAAGACGCGATGCTCCGTTATCACATGATCAAGAGCCTTTAGTAAACTTTGAACGAAACAAGTTCCGACACATTGTTCGTCGTTTCCGAATAAAGGATTCACCTTGATTCATTACCGTATACATTCTGTTGTTTTATTCTCTAGATTCGAACGTTCCAAACTTTCATGTCGATCGACCCCTTTTACAAAGCATCTCGAACGATATTCCTTCAAAAATCCATTAGCCTTCATTCGAATCGCTTTCAATATCCCTACAGTTCCTGCGTTATACTCGCGGGCTGACTATTACAATAAGACGATCGTTTCCTCCTATCACAAACAATAAAACTTCCCGATACCGAGTTCATTAAAAAATCATTCACCTACTCGCCCGTTCTTCCCCGTCATAAATTAGAAACTTTCTCGTCAACGGATACCCGAAGCATCACCCCGACCGTGATCTGTCTGTCGGATCCCGCGAGGAGAGGGACACGCTTATTGTCTCTAAACCGACAGGTTTCATCCGAGCCACTCCCAGGCCACGGGAAAAGATCATCCATGGAACGTATTCGACCACGTAGAAAGTGGAATGAATCGATGAACCGCCATGAATTCGCTTCGTGACCCAGCTCGGCTTTCAGCTCGAAGACGCGTCGAAGCTGGTGTCCTATCTAGTACACCGTATGCACTAGGGATGTTCGATTCCGATTCGATTCTCTTGAGTAACACATCACTGCCATGTATAACACATTCACTAACGGCCGAAAGTATGGGACCAGGTCTGATAATTAAAGAAAGAGGAAAATATTATTATATAAAGAGCTAATAAAGGTAACTTGTCAATACTAATGGGAAGTGACATTTTATACAGGGTGTATATATATTTAAATATCTCATTTACTTCTGATTTTCAGAACAATTATTTTAACAAATACTCAAAGTGATGTCCATTTTTGCATTAAATCCTCTATCGTAGTTGCTGTAATATTTAAATCTACTTCCATGCATTTGTAGATTTTTCGTACTCAAGGTCAAATGAAGGTCACATTATTATAAGTCATTGGATTGGTCTTGCTCAACTATTACGCTACGATAATAAAAATATGTAGTCCCATTTAAAGAAACACCGATGATCCAGAAAATTCGAAAAATATGACCTTAAGAAAAATGTTTTGTTTATCACAGTACTTGCTCCTTCCAACCAAATAACATTGTCCTCTCATTTTTTGTATTTTTAAAAACAAGTGAGATATTGAAGGTGTTCATGTTATGTGGGACACCCTGTATGTACTGATTCCGTAACTTTCATTTTATCGTAACAGAATAATAAGTTACTGTTGCATCGACCACGATCTCTAATCCCATACTTTTGGTCGTTAGTGTATGTTATACATGGCAGTGACATGTTACCCAAGAAAAATGATTTTCTGAATCGGAATCGAACATCCCCTAGTACATACCACCATCGCAAAAACTCCAACGGGGGAAAAGTAATTCCTCCCCTCGATGAAAATCACGCTTCGACGCGTGACACGATACACTGCGTGACGCGAGTGCTGCGCATACCGATAAACACCGAGAGAGAACCAGGGATCATCGTCGTGCCACTTGCTGACGCGTTCGTTAGGAGCCCGTCACGCGTCAGACGGTTCCGTCCATCGTTTATCAACCGCGGCGATCATCGTGATCACCGATAATGACGTATCAGGTCACACAGTGAAAGCATCGTGGGAATTGATTTGCGCTCGCGTGCACCCGCGCAGAGCCGGAAGGCGTCAGACGGCTGCAGTAAGGTCACGTCAAGCTACGGGTAGGTTGGACGATTAACCGCTATTAATGTCCGACTTCACGGGGTTTCCCAGAAGACCAGGGGGGCTTGTATTCCGATTTTCACACGGGGAGGCTTGTTATCGCGGTGATTTTCGCGCGGTGTTCGGTAATTTGTACGCGTGAGGTACGTGGGACCGATTTCTGGGATCACGGGGATGATTACTTTCGCAGGTGTAGTAATTTATTCGACGCGGCCTGACGCGTCTAACACTCGCGTGGAACGCTACTACCGCGAGTATACAAGGTGATACGATGAAAGGGTTCGTAGCTTCTAGGGCAGATAGTACTCGACGAACGATGGAAAAAGTACTGAGAAACATGGGTCGAAAAATTAATATTTTTATGATAAGAGAATGTTGACATTTAGTAGAGCAACAATCTAGAGAATAAATGTCTTATGCCTTATATGTGAAACATCAGCTGGTAGACGAAATACATAAATTCTTATAATTTTCTACTTTCGACAATCCTATATTATGAGTTATTAACTTGTTTAACTAAAACGACAAATTGCTCATTACCTTGAAAATATTAATTTTTCGATCTACGTTTACCAGGACTTTCTTTCATTATTAGCGAGTACTATCCACCTTAAAATGTATATAACCTTTTTTTGTATCACCCTGTATATATCCTCTGTCTCTCTCTCGTTCTACGGGATGTATATTTGCGTTGAGAGTCTGGCAAAAGGTGAACTCGAGAATATTCCCGTGACTCGTGATGGTATTCGGTAATTGAGATATCGAGGCAGTGAATCACACACGCAAGTACATACTTACGCCAGAGAGAGAGAGAATATTGGTGAGTCGCGAGAATTTATACGAGACGGGTTTCCTCGCGCGTTAATCCTGTCGTTATCAAGAGTTTCGCAATCATCGGCACGACGGTTCCGTATACGCCAATAGGTACAGTGCCTCGTTTTCGTGCGGAAAGTGCAAGGAACTCGGTCAATATTTCCAAGGCTGATGGAAATGGAACTGGCTGTTCCTCGTCGTGAAACGGAACTTCGCGGAGTTACCCGGGGATAGATATCCGCGGAAACTACACGAGTTCGTACTTATAATTATCTCGACTGTTTGATGGCCCGCGCGCGCGCGATACGCCTCAGGACGAGCAAATCTTTTTATCGGGGCGTGTACATCTTCCGTGTGGGAGGCGTTGCTTAATTCCACGATGACAGGCGAATGAATCGATTTTGAAAATGGTGGATATTATTCGGTGTACCGGTAATTCGCAATATTTTGTTGTATTAGTAACATTGGTTTACTGTTTCTTTGGTTGACTTTTTCTTCTCTAACCCTTGTATAGAGAACAGAAAATATTGGCCATTCAATCTCTGAAAGGATTCCTTCCTAAATCCACAATGTGCCTAAAGACTTTTCATTCCTAGCGATGACTTCAATCAGCGTACAAAGTTTGTACCCGCAATATTGAAACACTTCAAGGAATTTGTTACAAGATTGAGCCATGTAAAGGCGATTCAATATTATTATCGACAATAAAAAATAATCGATAAGAAAGTTGCCTGAACTTTATTTTAAAATATATATCTTCAAGCTAATTTGTCCAATTTGTACAGTTCGCAATTAATTCCAAAATATGGTCGCAATTAATTCCAATATTTTAGTTAGGAAACACAGTTGAATTGACGATGGTTGGGTCAAGGAATTGGATTTATTTGAAAAAAAAAAAATATTTCTGTCTCGATGTATACGACATCGCGAATTTTTTCCGAATTCCAGGCTCGTGTAACAAGTTACAAGCTATTTGGACAGCGCTGATTTATGCAAACGCGTTTACACCGTGTCCAACATCACCTACGGTATTCGAATTTTTTCATCGTGCTTGCATAAAACTCGCTGTCGCAACTATGTTCTATCGCCTGCCTCCACCACCCCCTTTACCGTCGACACGCGGGTTCTCGTTAGTCCGACTGATGAACGCGACTCGGCTTAAATTATTTTATCAGCGGATCCGTGAAATATGAGT